CCTAAAAACTACAATTGAATAAAACATTATAAATACATTGGAAACTTACATACCAGACATTGAAAGTTATAGGATTTTTTATTTAAAATTATTTAGATGTAAAAATAATGGAATACATTTTAATTTAAAAATTTGGTCGTCAAAAAAAATAAATTTTGAAACTCGGTAAAAAAGTTTAGAATAGTCAAATTTCTCTACATTTTTTGATAAGTAATAAATAACAATATATGGATATAGACAGACTATAAAGTAAACTTTTGAAGCAAATTACCATTCCCAAAGTTTCTCATTTTATTTATTTTTTATTCATATCTTGTTTAAATTTCAACCCATGTGTTATATTTAATACACCTCTATATATTCTAGGCTTGTTGTCATTGCATATAATTTTTCTCAATGTTGAATATGCCTGTCGTCGCTATTATATCTAATTTTAAATTCAACTGAAGCCTTTTAAATCCCTTATACGTGGTTCGTTCATCATATCTAGTAGAGTGTAATTAGAGATATCTTCGCGAAATTTCCAAATTCGTATTCGTAAAAAGTTAAATTATGACATATTAAAAACATTAAAATTAAAAATATAAATTTAATTAGTATTTCTGGTATAAATGAAATGATAACATAGTTTTAATTTCTAGTATAAATGAAATTTATATAATTTATTTTTAAACTAACATAATTGGTAACATAACATTAGCAAATTATACGAATATTATATGGTTACATGGTATTATTATTTTTCATTAGATGAGATACTATTTTCTTCTCTTCATATTTGTACAGTAAAGAACATTAAGATCTAAGAGATAAACAAAATTAATTACTTTATTATTTAATTCAGTGTATACCAAACGTGTAAGCCTTATTTAGTAAAAAATTATCCATTGTACGATGCGTTACTTATTAAATGACGTTTTAAAAGTTTAATTACAGAAATACTAACTAACAGTCGAGGGTCGAATCGTCGAGTAAAGCCGGTTTAGTATGTAAAGGATTTGGCTTTCGGTTTTTAATTAAAAATTTTTCACATAACATGCTTCTTCTTTCCTAGAAATTCTCTCGGTTTTATTTCGAATGAAAAAGTCTATTGACCTTCTACAAACATATATCACTCAGAATATCTACTAGTTGCACTATAATAATGTAGTTAGTTTAACGTTTTCAGTATATTAGCAGTAAAAGTGCTAAGCAAATATTTTGCTATACTAAAAGTAAACATAAGATATCTTTTAGCGGAAAACTTATGAGAAAAATAATGATTTTGGGATTATCATGCATATTAATATAATAATGACATAGTTTTCACTCATTACAAAAACAGACAAAAATGGACAACTAATTTTTTTTTGAGAAATTAATTATTTTTAAATATTAAACATATTAAAATAAAATACAAAAATGTTATTGAAAATAATAAATATCTTAATAAATGCAATATATACGCGAAATACTATAATGTTGCTTAAATTTTCGTCACATTTCAGAATATTAATTTATAACGTATACAAAAAAAAAAATTAGACAATATTTCAATGTAATGTGGAAGTAGCAATGTCTTTCAGTGTCTCATTACAATAAACAATCAAATAGAAATCTCAATTTTATTTTTTTAATCACATTAAAATGTATTCAATTATTTTGTTTTCAAACGTTAAATTATTAATAAAATTTGATATAAAGAGAATATATATAAATTTTTTTGATTAGAATTTGAAGCTTAAATTTATTTAATAAACTCAAAAAATTAAGTTATAGTATTTTATAATTAAATAGGCTACTTGTATATTCAATATTATTTTTAATTAATATATAATTATTCCATTAGTCGAGAATTAAGTTAGAAGCAAATTTACATTGATAATAAGTTCACTTATACGTCCTATACTAAATATTTCGAAATATAGAATAATAAAATATCATTTATTTGTTATTAATAATTAACAACGTTTTATTGTTTATCGAATTAAATAACATAAATCGAATTTGTTCTCTTAAGGAACTTAATTTTAAATTTGTGTATAAAGTACATTAAAACTCTTCTCATTTATTATACTTTCTAAGCCTATAAATACTTAAAAGACAATCAAAATAATACATAATTTTGCGAAGTAAAATTACAACCCTTTAAAATGTTTATTGTTAATTAATTTACGCAGTTCACAATTTGTATTTTCAAATTAATATTGAATGAAGCGTTCTGTAATGTGATTTATGTATGTATATGCAACATGCAGTTCACATAAATCAAACATCATAGATCTGTAGCATCAAATCATCATGGTATTTATAGACTTTCATGATAACTTATTAAGTAGTGCAACTGTTCTAATTAGCCAAGAAAATAAGATAGGATGGTAAGACTTAAGACATCGTCCATTTGCATAGATGATAATATTAAAGTTAAATTTAACAGGAAGTAAATCTTGATCAATGGTTAATAATTAAATCATTGATAAAGTAATTATTATTTCAACTAAATTTTTTAACATTTATGTAATTTATCAATGATTTACTACTTTAAAAATTGGCATAAGTGATTACATTTAACATATCACTTAATAATTTTGGTGAGCAACAAGTTTTTATTATATGAAAAACACCATTCAACATCATTTAAGAATAACTAATAATGTTACTAAATTTAATAAAAAAACCAACCAAACCCTTTTTTATAGCAATCATGAAAGTAAGAGTTTTGATATGCTTTTAAACCACAAACAACCTCTTACTTAATAAATCATTAAGACTAAAAAATTTAATACGGATATTTAAAATAGTTAACTTAATATTGTTTAACGCCAAGATCTATCTTTATTTTATTACTCCCTCTAACAACTTATCGTAGAAATTCATGTATAATTTATTTATTTCACCATTACCCTTTATGTCCAGCAACCATTTACCAACCGTTTACCCGGCAGTTTAATATTTTCTATTCAGTTTTACTCTTTATGAATTTTTTTTTTTTTGGTTTATTACAAATGACACCCAACGTAGGGTTCAAACCCGTGACCCCAAGAGTCTTGTACTCTACCAACTGAGCCAGCGGCGTACTCATAGGGAAGGGGGCTAAAGGAACTATATCCTTCAACATTGGTCAAATATAACTATTAACAGTGTATGACTTTGGTGAAAATAATAGTATGTAATAACTTATTATTTACTTATTACTATATGCTAATACAAGCATGGATGATAACGTTTTTCTATACTGACGGATCAGTACTGGAGGTTTTGCACACGCAGTACTATTCCAATATTCTGCCAGTATTACAATATTACTAATATTGGTTCTTAACAAAAATTTCTGCTAAGATTTTTTAGTATTGGGAAATCGAAAATTTTATAATAAATATATAATATACTATGAAGTACATTCAACATTTCATATAGGTTTGGAAAAATGATTTATTGCTACACCTACTCGTATAAATAAGTACAAAGAAATTTTGCGTAATAGAACCCCATTGGTATTCCTTTACTGAACATTCAATAAAAATACACCTGATAACGGCATAAAATGCCAACTATTTTTCATATACCATACACTCTATATGGTGCGCAGTCAACTTTTCATAATAAATAACAATAGCTTCTTAGTTTCCGTTTAATCTAATGTTTTCGGTTAGCCGGTGTTGACATAAATGAAAAAAATATTACGTACGATGCTCTGTTATATAACAAGTTTTCAATGTTATTGAAAAAATACTTATTTTTCCATCTCATAAAGGTACTGTTTCAGCACATTATACTGTGCAATACTAACATGACTTTCGAGTAGTTTAAAACACCGTCACTAAAATAATACACGCTATTTCATAGTATTTTTATACTGTAATGATCTACAATAATTGAAAATCAACATAATTATTATGCATAGTTATAATTTTTACATCTAATTACGATTTATCAGAGATTTATGAATCCCAAATCAAAAATACTTATGACTTTTTTCATTCGGTTTTAATATTTTAAAAGTGGGTGTTGACAAAAAATACAAAAATAATTATGGAGTGAATATACAAAATGGATAGGGTACTATATTTTTTTAAGGTATACGAATGAATATGAGTATATACGAGCGTATTTGCAGTATTGGGTAAATTGCTTTTTTTTTAATAATTATAATAAATTATAAATTATTTAATAGATTAGAAATTGAACTTCTCAAAAATTAATTAATATAACAAGCAAAGAAGTTACATTACTTTTATGATAAAAAGATAATCTACTTATAATGGAAGTTACTTTATTTCATTTATATGTTGAATTTGAAATTTATTTGAATTAAATAACTTATAACAGTAATAATTCTAATGAGTCTTCACTCAAAGACGTATTTAAAATTCATAGTAGGGGCAGAGGAGGGACATAACAAAAAAAACTGACAAGCTATAATAAAAACGGTTTGCGATCATTTTTTACTTATTTTGAATTTATGATGAACAAAAAACAAGACGAACAGTATAAAATTCTATATAAACACACTTAAAGATAGCGCAAATTTTTAAATTAAATCACTCAAAAAAAAGTAACATGAAATTTTTTTTAAATTACTCTTAATAATTAATTGTTATTAAAATAAAATTACTTTTTAATACTTTTAAAAGGTATATGTTAATTTCGAAAACTGGGTATCCGACATATTTCCGTTTACACCATTCAAATATCACTGAATTTCAACATGATGACTAAAATACTATTAATTGTTACAGCTAAAAATTGTATAATTGTTTAACTCTTTTTACACATTTAAAATTTCATCTGTGTTCTAAAATGACATTAGTATTTTTAAATTAATAGAAGCAATTATTCATTATAGTAGAATCCTTAATTATTCAAAAATATTCCAATAAGATTAACTAATTAACATAAAAATATCAACAAAAATAATATTCTATTACAGTACCTTTGTAGTATTTTTATTTGTTATTTAATATAAAAAGCGTATATCTTTTGCAAAATTAAAAAATCAATTAATTAAAAATATTTCTCACTTGCTAGTTGTTGAATTGACACTGGTATTGCTTCTAGATCGCCTGTTGATTATGCTATCTCCACAATTCACAACACCACCTTTGTTTGTTATGCTGAATGTTCTTAATCTATATAACTCATCCCCAGATCTTGGATTATATGGTTTTTCCGGAAGACTGCAGACTCTAGGTCTTACGTGATCTGGCACTGGAAAAAAATAATGATCACATAAGTGATATGTAATAGGACAAAATTGTTTATTTAATCCATCAAAATAATTCATAATAAAACAAAAATTGTAAAAACAAAGTAAAAAATAGTATAACCAAGAAAAGTTTGTATTTTTCTATTATCTAATGGAAGCTACAGACAGAAATGGAATAAAACCTGTATGTTGCGCGTCATATAAACTAAAAATATGTTGGTGTAATATGAAAAACTCATAAATAATATAAATGTTAATGTAATGCACAACGTCAGAAAGACCCCAAACTCTAAGGACATTACACGTTATAGAGATTCTTTAATGAAATTATCTATAAAATCAGTTCAAAAATTATGTTTTAATTATTTCATTCAGGAAATATATTTGTAAATAATGAAATAATATTTTGAAAATCATGAATGTGTATGAAGTTTAAAAATATTTTTTTTTTCAACTAGATGAATACGAAAAAAAAATTTAATGTTTATGAAAACAAATACAAATCTATACCATAATAAAAAATAAACTTTAATCAACCGCTAAAATAAATAGAACAAAATGCAATCTAAATAACACAAAATATACATGCACAAATAACTGCGAATAATCAGTACAGGTTAATTCGATATAATAATCACTTTGTAATATTTGTTGTTGTTTAAAAAAAAAATATTTATTTTGCATAACTAACAAAACAATAGTCATTAACGATTTTATGATAAATTATATATATTAAAAAATGAATCTAAAAGAGATATTCAGTTACATTTTATAAAAATTTGTTAAGTTTAATTAAAATAAGACAAGCGAATAATCTGTAATATATGGTTACTTTCCAAATACACAAATTAGTTTCCCGATTATAAGACATAATTGAAATGTGGGATAGAAGAGGCTATCATTTTCGGGTTTGATTAACCTATTCTACAAGGTCATCAGATTTGGAAAATTCAGGGGGTTAAATTAGAAAAAGGATTATCGAGTAGAGCTTAGATGGTAACCACCAGTAAACAAAACTAAGAACAATGTGCTCAGTCAATATGTGCCTTATACTTCACCAAATTGTTGTTATAAACAATATCAGCCTTAAAAGATAAAAGTTTTAAGCTTACTTAAATTTAAAACTTACTTAATAAATTACGTATCGTAATAATATTACAATGAATTATGGTTTATTAAGGTATTAATATTAAAAAATTTAACAAACCTACGTAAATAAAAATTGGACTTCAAACTGAAATCAGCTATATAATAGAAGACACTTGCTAAAATAATAGAATTTTTAAATGTATCTTAATTAATTATACAACTATACCGAAGTTTTTTATCTACTTTAAAATATTTAATATTAAATAAAAGATTTAAAACTCAAATAAATGTAGTTAAAAAATTTGGTTCTTGTGTACACAAATTTATGTACAGTTACGATACAGCGTAGTGGAGTTGAGGCATTTTTCTAAAATAGTATTGATAGCTAACCATATTTATAAAATCATTATCGTAAGACGCTTTCATACGTATTATGCGTAATAAATTTAAAAGAAATACATACATTTCTTTAAAATTATATGATTTTTGACTTTAGATGTTTTTTGAAACCTTACCAAAAATTGAAATGAAAAAACTTTGATTTGAACTCCAATGTACATTCGATTTGATTTTTAATCGTGTATGTCGTCGGCAAAGCAAATGTCTCTAATATAATCAATAAAAGTTTGCAATAATTCGTTTGAAAACTCTTTATCAAAAATTTATTTGTTTCATAAATTTCATAAGTCAATATGGATTTGAGAATAAAAAATATTAATATTGACCATTTTATGACAATTGTAATTTTTTGTAACATTTTTCATTAGCACATGAATCGAGATGAATTTTTCAAAATTATGACACTGATAGCTTCAACTAATTACGGTTTTTTTTATCTTTTGACGTATTGTCGAGCGAAATCGGTCCAGTATGAGTAGGAGTTATCACGTAAATGAACACAAAAATAAAATAAAAAAGGGAAAAGTAAAACCAGTAGCTTCTCAACTACGTTAAAAGTAATTTTTAAGTATTAAAATCTACTAAACTGTTTTAAAAATAAAAAAATATATAAATATTTCTCGCTTTTACGGTTTATTGAGTGTCATTGAGGACTCCCCTGAAGAGGAGGTTTCTTAACCATAAATACATGGACAAGTGGTTAGCCCGTTGATGGAGAGAAGAATGGCGACGACTCCAATTACTGAACTAATCTCTCGTTCAGCAAATGGATACGAAGCGGAGAACTGGTGTTTGATATTTGGTCTCAAATAGTACGGATCAGTCATTGCTGCGTTATTGTCTCGGTCACACAGTTGCTCTAATAAAAAATATATCACGCATTATAAATAGAAATATTGAATATTGTATTAAAGAGATTTGTAGTGGCTTTTTGTTGCTATCGGTTAAGTAGAATTTGAGAAATTAATTTGAGTGTAGCAAAAACAAATTACTAGCGAACCAAAACAAAGAATAAAATACCTTTTATGTGGCAGTTCAAACTCCATTATTCAGCTTTTTAATAATAAAACTTTAATCATAAATAAACATATAATAGAAAAATTAAACTACATAGACATAATAAAAACTTAAGTAATTCATGAAAAAATCAAATCGATAGAGAAAAAGCTTATAGCGCTCAATTAATAATAATAAAAAGTTTATCTTAATAAAACATTTCAATAGTTTTAATTTTGTTTAATTTAAATTTAATTGTATAAATATTATTTTTTTAAAGTCAATCTTGTTTAGACTTTAAAAAAATAATATCGCCATAATACTGGGAATTTTTTTTTAAATAGTGGAGAATACATTATTTTAATTGAGCACTTAAGTTTTTAATCAAATGTGAATATTTTTTAAAAAGTAAACATATTCGACAGCTTACTGTATTTATCGCTTTTAAATCTCAGCCTAAAATATTTAGAGGTCATTAGGTTTAAACTAGCTATTATAAATAAACGGTTTTATTTTAAAATCCATACGGTTTTTATCAATGTATAGCATCTTTTTTCTCAATACTGACATGTTTGTGTGTACACATTTATATACTAACACATAGATTGATAAATAAAGTATATTAACGCTTAACATATGTCTCACAAAATATATCCCCATAGTGGTCCGTTATAAATGGTATGTAATTGAAAATTTTGGTTGCTAAGTAACATAGGTACGTACGTACTACAACGTCCAGTGGACATTGAATGCAGCGACGATATAATATTTACACATGTTACATGATATAAAGTGTTTCCTGAAATGATATGTTACATCTAATTTTTCTCATAATAGCTAAAAAAATATGTGAAAAAATATTTACCGCATAAAAAGGCTTTATACATTAAGAAAAAGGTATGACATTATTTGGTATTGTTTAAAACACGAATATTTTTTATTTCAGTATATAATTTATAATAAATATCTAAAACAAAAGCCTTACTTCTTATATCTTTTCATAGATAAATTGGAAATGATTTTGAAAAAAGTGTAAATAAAACAAAATAATTATTGTTTTGTTTCGCTAAAAACTAATTAAACATATAAAAAAAGGTTTTTTTATAAGATAAAAATTATTTTTAATAAAAAAAAAATTCAATCCAATAACGATATAATATTAGGATAATCAGTTCAGGATTTATGTTGTACTTTAATTTAATTTACCATGAAAAATCAGATAAGTTTATTACATATTTAGATTGTATGGGTAACGTGATTTTTTTTATGCAAGATAAGTTGTAACGGGTAACAAAATTAGATAGAAGAATAAACGAGAAATACAATAAATAGTGAAGCGTACAAGGTATTATACAGATATATGTTGATGTACCATAAGTACATCAACATAATCAACATATACATTAGGTATAATAAGAGCATTAAGGCTTTTTTGTGAGCATATTTCAGCGACCAAATGTTATAACTACATAAGTATTCATTTCAAAATGAGGATGCTTTCATAATGCCTGGAATAAGCTCTCATGTAAATTCTCGAACAAGAATTTAAATAAAAAAACCTCTGGATTTGCAAAATTGAGTGCATGATTATTGCACACGATGTATTCTTATTGTAATACATTTGCGCATTATCAGCAAACAAAAAGAAATACTAAATTCAGGTGAACATGTATGAATGTTCAATACGTACATGTAACTTTGCTAATTTATTATACATTTAATAAGTAATTAACTGTAATAATTATAATTATTATTAATATTATTATATTAACTAATTCACATATTATTACAGTATTTTTTATTTTTTTATTTATAAAATATTCAACCTTAACTAGATGTATGTATACAGGTGTTCAGAAAGTAAGGAAACAGATTAATTGTTACAAACAATGAGAACAATAGAAACTCGTTGGCTTACTTACTGAACACCTTATATGTAATTTCGATATATTTAATATGTCGCAATATGACCTAAAGGAAAAAGACCCAATGATGTATTTTTATTTTTTTTAGTTAGTATTGTTTTTGTTCCATAGCATGTTCATGTGATCAATTGCTAAACTAAAGTGTCACTAAGTTATTATACATATATTTATATAATATATATATATATAATAATATATATATATATATATATACGTACGAATATCTAAAATCTTTACACTAAAATAGAAAATGTATTGCAACATTTTTTATAATGGAATCACCACAGGATGTAATATTTAAAAACAATATACTACTTCCTTCTCTTAAAAATGTTTTTCTACAATTTTCAACTATTTCATTAGTGTTTATTGTCTGTATTAAACTTATCATAAGATTTTTAGTTAAAAACAATAAGAAGTCGAACAAAATCACCCATCTATATCAATTAATTGGAGCTTAAAATGTACTGAAATAATTTTTTAAACAATCAATCATCATTGTATTGGGCTATAACGATTCACGAAAATAAACACATTACATGGTCGTTAGCGTCAAAATAAATCATTTTCACTCTCGTTTTCCCATTCCTCGT